TACATTACATAGACATTGCCATTCATTCCAAAGCAACTATTAACCTGAGTTTTAAAAGAATGAATGTGTGACTCACAGATATTCAACAACTCTTTTAATAAATTGGGTAAGAGCTTTTCTTCCTGGTATGTTCCCTGTGACAAGACTGAAGCTAAAAGATGTCTAGAAGTATGTCTTACATCAGATGTAAAAGATTAGATATAAAGCAAAAAGGAATCAAATATCAAAAAAAGTTTTCTTTTTCTGTAAGAGTTAAATTCATTTTTCTTCCAACCATGGTAAGAAGTGAAAGCAAAAATGACAAAAAGTATTGTAAAGAAAAATTATAGGCAGGAGAGCAAATAGCAATGTGATTCATTAAGCAGAGCAATGAGCTTGAATCTATTTCAAATATCTTGTCACCAATAAGCTGCTAGTTAAATGCAGTGCAGAATCTGATTCCCAGCCATAAAATGGGAACACTTGTGACTAAGTTATTATTCTAAAACTTGAAAATTATAAAGCATATTAAAGTGGTTCATGCATTATAATTATGAACTGTAATCGATCACCATGACAGTCAGTTGATTAATGGTGTTCTTTTTAAATTAAAAGGAAATCTTTGGGCACAGTGAAAGAATTTTAAAAATGCATTTTTAAGCTTACAGAAGCGGCTTAAAATGTTCTGTTTTTTAGATTTTAGAAATTAGCTATATAATGGTCAGTGTAATAATCCATGTGATTTACTAAAAATGATTAAGCACACATGATATTATGTACATAGCATAATTCTAATCAGGAATCAATAGTTTCCAGAGTCCAAGTTTTTCTCTCTTCCAAATGGTATAGCAGAATTTAACAATTTTTTTAGGTAGCAAATTCCAATATAAAATGCAGTGAGGGCCAAATATATATATTTAAAAATCTTATGTGAAAAGAAGCTGTGTGAAATTTAGTGATTCTGTGTATTTGTATGTACAGACTTAACTCTGGACACACCCTGACCCCCAACATATGTGGCAGGTGCTATGCTACTGATCACCACAGGAAAATGTTTATCCACTCTAAAAGAAACCAAATGATCTCAGTCAGGGTCTCTTTGTGCAACAATATGTAGGCTTCTAGTAAAAAGTAGCACACTTAGAGACCTTTTTATCTCTTTATAGCTACACATTCCATTAATTCATTGTTTGTTTTAATCATATAAATATGACTTATTCATAAAATTCAGCTGTAATCAACAGACCATGAATGTGTAAAGCAAGGTAAAATAAACTACATTATGGTTTAACTGCTATGTCTAAATTCAACATTCAACAAAACTTTCAGTGTTACTTTTCAGTATTTCTGACCAATTAATATATTTAAAGGTAACAAATTAAGCACTTGGTGGAG